CCTGTCCCTCAATACACACCCTCTATTGCTCTCTTACTGCCCCATCTCCCCGCTCTTCCTCAATACACACCCTATATCCCTTTCTTACTGCCCCATCTCCCCCTTGTCCCTCAATACACACCCTCTATCGCCCTCTTACTGCCCCATCTCCCCCCTGTCCCTCAATACACACCCTCTATTGCTCTCTTACTGCCCCATCTCCCCGCTCTTCCTCAATACACACCCTATATCCCTCTCTTACTGCCCTATCTCCCCCTGTCCCTCAATACACACCCTCTATCGCCCTCTTACTACCCCATCTCCCCCGTCCCTCAATACACACTCTCTATCGCTCTCTTACTGCCCCATCTCCCCCCTGCCCCTCAATACTCACCCTCTATCCCCTATCTAATACTTGCATTGCCCTATTCTCCCCTGCCCTCAATACACACCCTATCCTCTTACTGCCCTCATCTCCCCCTGCTCCCTCAATACTCACCTCATCCCCCATCTTACTTCTTACTGCCTATCTCCCTACCCTCAATACTCACCTCTATCCCCCATCTACTCTTACTGCCCCCATTTCCCCTGCCCCTCAATACTCACCCTCTATCCCCCTCTTTCTGCCCTCATCTGCCCCCGGCCCCTGAATACACACCCTCTATCTCCCTCTTACTGCCCCATCTCCCCCATGTCCCGCAATACACACCCTCTTACTGCCCTATCTCCCATTGTCCTTCAATACAAATGAGCTAAATAAGATGTATGTTCGTCATGTATCGATGCAAACCCCATACTAAAACAGGAGGGGTGCTCTCTCTCTCTCTCTCCACCCCCCCACATACACACCATATTAGTAAGGTGCTCAGCATCCACTCACTCTGGGCACCTCACTTTCCTCCTCACTTACTCTGAAAACCTTTCACTCATTGTAACAGTTTCATTTCCTTTCTTCAGTCTCACAGAGTTTAACCACAATCCTCCCCCCATGTTGTGACGAGACCAATCTCGCCACATTGCATTGGAGAAGCCTGGTTGCTCGCCTGCTGCCTCTGGACTATGGCCCCCTTTTAAAAGACTTTATTTTGCCTGGAGAAAAGCTGTATTCGTGCTTTTCTGCCAGTTGTTCGGTAGATTCAATCTACCGAACAACCACACGAATGAATAGACCACCTGGGAGCTGGAGTGTGCCGGCAATTAACCTCCCTGAAGCTGCGGTTAACCGCAGCTTAATTGATGAATGCTGGGTGGCCACCATTCGTATCCCGAACACAAGGTCGCGGCCATTTTAAACATACGAATGCACAGCGGTGTTCGCCCCTATTTTCATGGAACTAAAATCGGACACAGTTTTGCGCGAACACCGCTGAAGCCGCCGATCTCCCTTCTTGTTCGGTGGAAGTGCACGAACGGCTCGGTGTTCAGTAGTTTTGGTTGAATGTGTTATACCCAGATAGGAATCCCATGGAGCCCATTCGTATGAAACTGACTGTAAAGACTTTGGCTCCATGGCGATTAAACTGTATTTGTGAGGTCTGAGCGCCATTCGCTTAATAATGTGCGCTCAGACCTGAGCTATCTGGGGATATGTTACATGTCTGTGTTTTATGTAATAAATGTTACTTTATGTATTTTAAAGTATAATACTGGTTTTGTATCCCCACATGTGTAATGGAGTTTTGCCTTTGTCTTGGGAGATAATTTAATTACTTCCCAATTATCTCCCAGGGCAGAGGGGAGGAAGCCAGGATGCATTGTGGGAATATATTGTGATTGTGTGTCCTATTTGTCTACTTGTCTGTCTTTTGTCACAGTCTCCCATTTGGTCCCTTAGGGGAGTGTCCACCAGGTGGGAGACCTGCATAAATACTGGGCAGGTAGCCCTCATTAAACAGACCACTGCTTGACCCTCAACACGGAGCTCTGTCTCGTCTTTGGGGGATTTACTGTATGCTGCTAAGGACTGATTGCCAGGAGTGTAAGCCGCTTGGGAGCTTTTCCTGTTCGTCTGGTAGCAGCAATTCGTATGGTTCCTGTTCGTGTATTTGGAGTGCTACCTTATTCCCTTGTATGCCGTTCGGGAGTTTGGAGCATTCACTTGTATGCAGTTCGAGAGTTTGGAGCATTCACTTGTATGCAGTTCGAGTGTTTGGACCATTCCCTTGTATGCAGTTCGAGTGTTTGGACCATTCCCTTGTATGCAGTTCGAGTGTTTGGACCATTCCCTTGTATGCAGTTCGAATGTTTGGAGCATTCCCTTGTATGCCGTTCGGGAGTTTGGAGCATTCACTTGTATTCAGTTCGTGAGTTTTGGTGATTCTACAGTAGCTGTGCCTGTCTCTGAAAGGGGATTATCGTCTAAGCGTTTTTTTCCCTTTTGTGCAAAACGGTCCGTTACACATGTTAACATCCTCTGTTATCTTCTCCCCATCTTTCTCCTCCCCCAACCCCCTTCTCTTTCTCTATGTCTCCCCCATAAAATAATACTTCATAAGATTGAACATTTCATCTTCTGTCTCTGACCTACCTCTCCTTGTTCCCAATGTCCCTTAAAATACTCTCTTCTAGCTCAGATTTCATATCTCTTCCCCCTGCCTCTATTCCCCTGGACCACATCCCCAGATTCTATCTCTCTTCCCCCATGCCTCTATCCACCTGGCCAACCTCCCTGATTTCCATGTCTCTTCCCCGTGGCCCACCTTCCCAGATTCCAACCCCCCCCACCTCTATCCACCTGTCCCACCTCCCTACATTCTATCTCTCTTCCCCCCGCCTCTTTCCCCATGGCCCACCTTCCCAGATTCCATCTCTCTCCCCCTCTGCCTCTATCGACAATTCGGCAATTTGGTTTGGTTCGGCACTTCTGAAATTCGGACATTCGGAAGCATCTGAATGTCCGAATCGCCGAAATTCGTCCAAATTTACATTCGGAACGAAACAAACTGCACATGTCTAATTGGTAGAGTATTCATCCACATCCATGAGATTCTGTACTTCTTTTCTTAGTTTGTGCAAACCATCTTCCTGGAAATAATTATCTTCCTCACAAGAGATGCTAGAATCTCTAGACGATGATTCATCTGTAGAAGGCTCAGAACTTGAATTTGTCTCCATTTTCTTGAATTCTCAATTTGTTTGTGCTTCCTCTTATTGGAAAATGGAAAAGCTAGCCTCTGACTTATGGGGCAAATCAACCAGTGGCATAGACTGAGCATAATGCAAAGCAGATACTCTGGTATCCAAAAAAGCCTGAAGAAGGTTACTCTGCGACCACGAGAGGAAGGATGAAACCTCAGATTTCTTAGATTCCTCTGCTGCTTCCTTAGCGCATGTGTTACAGTGCTTTCTCTTGTACCCATCAGGTAAAGGGTGCGAACAGGCAGAGCAAATTAAATGTATTGTCTTGGACAGACATTTTCCTTTTTCTGCAGGTTTATCCACAGGTTCAGGATTGGACATACTGCAGAAATATGGAAGAGAAAAAACATTTGTTATTTGTAAATAAAGTTAAAATTGAATTCAGGCAAGAAACATAGAATGTGACGGCAGATAAGAACCATTCGGCCCATCTAGTCTGCCCAATTTTCTAAATACTTTCATTAGTCCCTGGCCTTATCTTATAGTTAGGATAGCCTTATGCCTATCCCACGCATGCTTAAACTCCTTTACTGTGTTAACCTCTACCACTTCAGCTGGAAGGCTATTCCATGCATCCACTACCCTCAGTAAAGTAATACTTCCTAATATTATTTTTAAACCTTTGTCCCTCTAATTTAAGACTATGTCCTCTTGTTGTGGTAGTTTTTCTTCTTTTAAATATAGTCTCCTTCTTTACTGTGTTGATTCCCTTTATGTATTTAAATGTTTCTATCACATCCCCCCGTCTCGTCTTTCCCCCAAGCTATACATGTTAAGATTAGTAGTGATGTACCGAACTGTTAGCCAATGAGAATAGTTCGGCGGGCTATAAGCGTGTTGGTCGCCTTCGATGGGTGTGAACACATGCGGCGGTTTGATCTGCCCCCCTATTAGGTCATCATTGAGGTAAACTTTGACCCTGTACCTCACAGTCAACAGACACATTCCAGCCAATCAGCAGCAGACCCTCCCTCCCACCTCCTGGACAGCATCCATTTTACATTCATTGTGAAGCTGCATTCTTAGTGAGAGGAGGGACAGTGTAGCTGCTGCTGATTTGATAGGAAATTGATAGCTAGGCTAGTGTATTCAGTGTCCACTACAGTCCTGAAGGACTCATCTGATCTCTGCTGTAAGGACAGCACCCCAAAAGCCCTTTTTAGGGCTAGAACATCAGTCTGCTTTTTTTTCTGTGTAATGTAATTGCAGTTGCCTGCCTGCCTGCCAGCCTGTGTGTCAGGCTCACAGCATATACTGTGCCCACTTGCCCAGTGCCACCACTCACTCACTGGTGTCACAATAGCTTAAGCTTGACATTTAAAAAGAAAAACATTTTTTCACTGTAATAGATTGAATAGCAGTTAGTTGTCTGCAAGCTTCTGGGTGTCAGGCCTCCTTCAGCGTGTGCTCTACAGACCTCTGCCCGTGTACTTTGCCACTCATATCTGGTGTCTCTATAGCGTGCTTTTACAAAGAAAAAAAGTTTTTCAGTGTAAGCTAATAGCAGTCATTGTCCTTAAAGCGGGTGTCAGGCCTCCTTCAGCGTGTGCTCTGCAGACCTCTGCCCATGTACTTTGCCACTCATATCTGGTGTCTCTATAGCGTGCTTTTACAAAGAAAAAAAGTTTTTCAGTGTAAGCTAATAGCAGTCAGTGTCCTTAAAGCGGGTGTCAGGCCTTCTTCAGCGCGTGCTCTGCAGACCTCTGCCCGTGTACTTTGCAACTCATATCTGGTGTCTCTATAGCATGCTTTTACAAAGAAAAAAGTTTTTCAGTGTAAGATAATAGCAGTCAGTGTCCTTAAAGTGGGTGTCAGGCCTTCAGCGTGTGCTCTGCAGACCTCTGCCAGTGTACTTTGCCACTCATATCTGGTGTCACAATAGCGTGCATTTAAAACCAAAAAACTTTTTTCACTGTTATAGATTGAATAGCAGTTAGTTGTCTGCCAGCGTCTGTGTGAGGCTCACAGTGGATACTGTGCCCAGTGTTACCACTCACTCACTGGTGTCACAATAGCGTGCATTTAAAAACCAAAAAACTTTTTTCACTGTTCTAGATTGAATAGCAGTTAGTTGTCTGCCAGCGTCTGTGTCAGGCTCACAGTGGATACTGTGCCCAGTGCCACCACTCACTCACTGGTGTCACAATAGCATGCATTTAAAACCAAAAAACTTTTTTTACTGTTATAGATTGAATAGCAGTTAGTTGTCTGCCAGCGTCTGTGTCAGGCTCACAGTGGATACTGTGCCCAGTGCCACCACTCACTCACTGGTGTCACAAAAGCTTGCATTTAAAAACAAAAAACTTTTTTCACTGTTATAGATTGAATAGCAGTTAGTTGTCTCAAAGCGGGTGTGCCAGGCTCACAGTGGATACTGTGCCCAGTGCCACCACTCACTCACTGGTGTCACAATAGCTTGCATTTAAAACCCAAAAACTTTTTTCACTGTTATAGATTGAATAGCAGTTAGTTGTCTCAAAGCTGGTGTGTCAGGCTCACAGTGGATACTGTGCCCAGTGCCACCACTCACTAACTGGTGTCACAATAGCTTGCATTTAAAACCCAAAAACTTTTTTCACTGTTATAGATTGAATAGCAGTTAGTTGTCTGCTAGCGTCTGTGTCAGGCTCACAGTGGATACTGTGCCCAGTGCCACCACTCACTGGTGTCACAATAGCGTGCATTTAAAAACCAAAAAACTTTTTTCACTGTTATAGATTGAATAGCAGTTAGTTGTCTCAAAGCGGGTGTGTCAGGCTCACAGTGGATACTGTGCCCAGTGCCACCACTCACTCACTGGTGTCACAATAGCTTGCATTTAAAAACAAAAAACTTTTTTCACTCTTATAGATTGAATAGCAGTTAGTTGTCTCAAAGCGGGTGTGTCAGGCTCACAGTGGATACTGTGCCCAGTGCCACCACTCACTCACTGGTGTCACAATAGCTTGCATTTAAAACCAAAAATCTTTTTTCACTGTTATAGATTGAATAGCAGTTAGTTGTCTCAAAGCGGGTGTGTCAGGCTCACAGTGGATACTGTGCCCAGTGCCACCACTCACTCACTGGTGTCACAATAGCTTGCATTTAAAACCCAAAAACTTTTTCACTGTTATAGATTGAATAGCAGTTAGTTGTCTCAAAGCAGGTGTGTCAGCCCTACAGCGTGTACTTTCTGCCAACCTCTGCCAGCTCACGAGTGCCACTCATATCTGGTGTCACAGTAGCTTGCACGCATAGGCACCATAATCAAAAATGACAGGCAGAGGCAGGCCACCGCACGCCGGTGGGACTGGCTAGGTTTTATCCTCAAAAGGACGCGTAAGGCCTACGGGCATTAGCGCGTAGCCTCCTTTGAGGTGACAAACAGATCCGGTATCCCACCAGCTCATCAGCGACATCATACCATTTGTTTTCTTTCTGGAGCGTGCCCTGCGAAGAGTGCTGGATCAGGCCGTAGATGGGCGTGAAGAGGAAGAGTTGTGGTCACCATCACCACCAGAACCAGCCTTATCAGCATCGCTTGCTGGACCTGCGGCAATGCTGGAAGAGAATTGTGAGGAAGAGGAGTCAGAGGAGGAATGTGGCTTTGAGGAGGAGGAGGAAGACCAACCACAACAGGCATCCCAGGGTGCTCGTTGTCACCTATCTGGTACCCGTGGTGTTGTACGTGGCTGAGGGGAAGAACATACCTTCATTGAGATCACTGAGGAGGAGGAACGGGAAATGAGTAGCTCGGCATCCAACCTTGTGCAAATGGGGTCTTTCATGCTGTCGTGCCTGTTGAGGGACCCTCGTATAAAAAGGCTGAAGGAGAACGACCTGTACTGGGTGTCCACGCTACTAGACCCCGGTATAAGCAGAAAGTGGCTGAAATATTACCAAATTACAACAAGTCGGAAAGGATGCAGCATTTGCAAAATAAATTAAAAAGTATGCTTTACACAGCGTATAAGGGTGATGTCACAGCACAACAGGAATCTAACAGGGGAAGAGGTGAAAGTAATCCTCCTCCTCCCACGACCACGCCGGCAAGGACAGGACGCTTTACAGATGTGTTGTTGATGGAGGACATGCAGAGCTTTTTAAGTCCTACGAATCGCCACAGCCCTTCGGGATCCACCCTCAGAGAACGACTCGACCGACAGGTAGCAGACTACCTCGCCTTAACTGCAGATATCGACACTCTGAGGAGCGATGAACCCCTTGACTATTGGGTGTGCAGGCTTGACCTGTGGCCTGAGCTATCCCAATAGGCAATAGAACTTCTGGCCTGCCCCGCTTCAAGTGTCCTGTCAGAAAGGACCTTCAGTGCAGCAGGAGGTATTGTCACTGAGAAGAGATGTCGCCTAGGTCAAAAAAGTCTAGATTACCTCACCTTTATTAAGATGAATGAGGGATGGATCCCGACGGGACTGACAGTGGGCGATACATCCGACTAAAAAAGGCCTGATGAGATGAGCTGTCTTGGGCTAAAAATGGTCCACACGCTGCTGTATTTTAGCTCTGAATGGCGGTTGACTTGCGTGACTCATCCGCCACCAACTAGGGTTCAAGCCGCAATATTTTAAGGCAGTGCTCCCCAACCTTTTTATCGCCGCGGACCGGTAAACGTTTGATCCACGTACCGGTCCACGGCCCGGGGGTAGGGTAACACTGTTTTAGGGCACTTTCTGCCTGGGAAACAAACATCAATTCTTCTGGCCGCTGCTACAGCAGCGGCTGCAACAATACCTAATTTTTCAGGCATGTGTACATGCCTAATTTTTCGGGCCTCTGGTGCTGAACTGTGGTTTCAAAAACCAAACCAAAAAAAAGGCACATAACAGGGATTAAACTGATAAGAATAATACTACTTAACACACCTTATAATAACGCAGAGAGAGGCAACGCAGAGAGAGGAGTCTGAAGAAGAGGAGTCAGAAGAGGAAGGTGGCTTTGAGGAGGTGGAAGACCAAACACAGCAGGCGTCCCAAGGGGCTTGTTGTCACCTTTCGGGGACCCTTGGTATTGTACGTGGCTGGGTGGAGGAAGAGACCTTCAATGACATCAGTGAGGACAAGGAACGGGACATGGCTAGTTTGGTATCCAACCTTGTGCAAATGGGGAGTTTGCGGTTGTGCAAATGGACTGTTTGCGGTTGTTTGCGGTGCGTTAAACGGGGAGTTTGGTCTGTCACTGTGAAGCGGGCATAACCATTACACTACCTGATCGATACAACATCATACAGTAGGTCCCCCCCCCCTCATTATTTTTATGGCCCCCAACCCACCGCTCACGGGTGGGGGCAGGGGGGAGGACAGTAGGGTATTCAGTTTGACATAGGGTATTCAGTATTTACTGAATATTCCCCTGTATAACAATGTTTGGCATTTAGTGAATATTCCTTATTCTGCTCTGTGTCAGTGTGTATCAGGGATCCTTAGGACAGGTGTCAATCCATATCTGCCAAGTGACCCTATGTAGGGGGAACAGTCTCTATTCTGCTCTCTGTCAGTGTGTGTCATGGTCTCTGAGGACAGGTGTCAATCCATATCTGCCAAGTGACCCTATGTAGGAGGAACAGTCTCTATTCTGCTCTGTGTCAGTGTGTATCAGGGGCTCTGAGGACAGGTGTCAATCCATATCTGCCAAGTGACCCCATGTAGGAGAACAGTCTCTATTCTGCTCTGTGTCAGTGTGTATCATGATCTCTGAGGACAGGTGTCAATCCATATCTGCCAAGTGACCCTATGTAGGAGGAACAGCCTCTATTCTGCTCTGTGTCAGTGTGTATCAGGGGCTCTGAGGACAGGTGTCAATCCATATCTGCCATGTGACCCCATGTAGGAGGAACAGTCCCTATTCTGCTCTGTGTCAGTGTGTATCAGGGATCCCTAGGACAGGTGTCAATCCATATCTGCCAAGTGACCCTATGTAGGGGTAACAGTTTCTATTCCCCTGCTCTGTGTCAGTGTGTGTATCATGGTCTCTGAGGACAGAAGGTCAATCCATATCTGCCAAGTGACCCCAAGGTAGGGGGAACAGTCTCTATTCTGCTCTGTGTCAGTGTGTATCATGATCTCGAAGACAGGTGTCAATCCACACTGCCAAGTGACCCCATGGGGAACAGTCTCTATTCTGTTTCGGGTGGGCTGGTGTGGTATCATGATCTCTGAGGACAGGTGTCAATCCATATCTGCCAAGTGACCCCATGTAGGGGAAACAGTTCCTCATTCTGCTCTCAGGCTGCGTGTATCAGGGGCTCTGAGGACAGGTGTCAATCCATATCTGCCAAGTGACCCCATGTAGGGGAACAGTCCCTATTCTGCTCTGTGTCAGTGTGTATCATGGTCTCTGGAGGACAGGTGTCATTCCATATCTGCCAAGTGACCCTATGTAGAGGAACAGTCTCTATTCTGCTCTGTGTCAGTGTGTATCATGATCTCTGAAGACAGGTGTCAATCCATATCTGTCAAGTGACCCTATGTAGGAGGAACAGTCTCTGTTCTGCTCTGTGTCAGTGTGTATCATGGTCTCTGAGGACAGGTGTCAATCCATATCTGCCAAGTGACCCTATGTACGAGATCAGTCTCTATTCTGCTCTGTGTCAGTGTGTATCATGGTCTCTGAGGACAGGTGTCAATCCAAATCTGCCAAGTGACCCTATGTTGGAGGAACAGTCTCTATTCTGCTCTGTGTCAGTGTGTATCATGGTCTCTGAGGACAGGTGTCAATCCATATCTGCCAAGTGACCCTATGTTGGGGTAACATTCCCTATTCTGATCTGTGTCAGTGTGTATCAGGGGCTCTGGGGACAGGTGTCAATCCATATCTGCCAAGTGACCCTATGTAGGAGGAACAGTCCCTATTCTGCTCTGTGTCAGTGTGTATCAGGGATCCTTAGGACAGGTGTCAGTCCATATCTGCCAAGTGACCCTATGTAGGGGGACCAGTCTCTATTCTGCTCTGTGTCCGTGTGCATCAGGGGCTCTGAGGACAGGTGTCAATCCATATGTCAAGGTGTCAATATGTCATATGTCGGGTGTCAATCCATATTGATTGTGATTTAGGAATGTTAGGTGATTTCTGCCCTTTATGGATTAAAACCAGACTCTGTATCAACTGTGTAATTTTCCATGGGAGTTTTGCCATGGATCCCCCTCCGGCATGCCACAGTCCAGGTGTTAGTCCCCTTGAAACAACTTTTCAATCACTATTGTGGCCAGAAAGAGTCCCTGTGTGTTTTAAAATTCGCCCGCCCATTGAAGTCTATGCGGTTCGCCCGGTTCGCCGGTTTGCGAACATTTGCGGAAGTTTGCGTTCGCCGTTTGCAAACTGAAAATTTCGGGTTCGCGACATCACTAGTTAAGATCCTTTAACCTTTCCTGGTAAGTTTTATCCCGCAATCCATGAACCAGTTTAGTAGCCCTTCTCTGAACCCTCTCTAAGGTATCAATATCCTTCTGAAGATACGGTCTCCAGTACTGTGTACAATACTCCAAGTGAGGTCTCACCAGTGTTCTGTACAATGGCATGAGCACTTCCCTCTTTCTACTGCTAATACCTCTCCCTATACAACCAAGCATTCTGCTAGCATTTCCTGCTGCTCTATTACATTGTCTGCCTACCTTTAAGTCATCAGAAATAATCACCCCTAAATCCCTTTCCTCATATGTTGAGGTTAGGACTCTATCAAATATTCTGTACTCTGCCCTTGGGTTTTTACGCCCAAGATGCATTATCTTGCACTTATCCACATTAAATGTCAGTTGCCACAATTCTGACCATTTTTCTAGTTTACCTAAATCATTTGCCATTTGGCTTATCCCTCCTGGAACATCAACCCTGTTACATATCTTAGTATCATCAGCAAAAAGACATACCTTACCATCAAGACCTTCTGCAATATCACTAATAAAAATATTAAAGAGAATGGGTCCAAGTACAGATCCCTGAGGTACCCCACTGGTGACAAGTCCAAGTCCAAGGCATTAGTCCTGAATGTTTTTTATATAAGGGATAGTATATTTCCCTATTTTGAAATTCTATTCTATATGCATTATTTGCTATTATCCTTTATTACCTTTTTAATAGATACTTGTTCATAATATGTATTTTTATAATATGTATTTTATACACTCTACACTTTCCGATTTTGGAATTCAAACTCTCATTCCTCTCTCTTTGTTCATGGTGGTTTGGCTCTTTTTTTCTATATTATAGCCGAGTTCCGGCACCTGTGGGCGGAGCGTATTTGCGTATGTATGCAGACACTGAACTTTCCTCATAGAGATGCATTGATTCAATTTATCTTTATGAGGAGATGCTGATTGGCCAGGACTGTGTTTGAATCATGCTGGCTCTGCCCCTGATCTGCCTAGTTGACAGTCTCAACCAATCTTATGGGGAAGCATTATAATTTGCTCAGATCACCACTTCTGATTATGTCAGTTCAGAGGCAGAGCCAGTATCTGCAGACTTGAATACAAGTAAGATTTTACTATATTTAGGGAGGCAATAGGGGATCAGGGGGGCTAGATGGTGGTTTTTACATAATAGGGTCAGAAATACATGATTGTGTTCCTGACCTTATAGCGTTCCTTTAAGCAATAGTATGTGAAGAGTAGTTAGGGTTGCCACCTTTCTTGGAAAAAAAAATATCAGCCTTAATAATTTGTATAATTAATTAGTTATGCATGACATAACATGATGTAAATCACAAGGAGTGATATCAGAGAAAATTCTGTAAAATCACCAACAAACTACTCACAGTTTGATTCTGCTGTATAGATGAATTGCTCCCAGTGTCTCAGTCTCGCAAGTCACCCAGTGTCTCAGTGTCCCTATGTATCACAGTGTCAGTGTCCCCATGTCGCACAGTGTCCCCATGTCTCAGTGTTTCCCCATGTCACTAGGATACTAGGGGACACAGTGAAACATGGGGACACTGGGAGACATGAGGGCACTGAGACACTTGGGGACATTTGGAGACATGGGGGCACTTGTAAATATAGACATGGGGACACTGGGAGACATAGGGACACAGGCATTTGGGGACACTGGGAGAAATGGGGACACTAGGGACACAGAGACATCGGGACACTGAAGCATTTGAGCACACTAAGACACTAGGGACATTGAGAGACATGGGAGACTAGGGGACACTGGGAGACATGGGGACACTGAGACACTAGGGACACTTGTGTACATAGACATGGGGACACTGAGAGACATTCGGACACACACTGGGAGACTTGGGGACACTGGGAGACATGGGGACACTGGCTGGGAGACATGGGGACACTTGGAGACATGGGGACTCTGAGTCACTAGGGACAGTAAGAGACATGGGGACACAGACACTGGGAGCCATGTGGACACTGAGCCATTAGGGACACTGGCTGGGGGACATGGGGACATTGGGACACTGTGTTCCTAGTGTCTCCATGTCCCAATATCTCAGTGTCTCCCAATGTCCCTATGTTTCACAGCGTCCCCATGTGGCTCAGCGTCCCCATGTCTCACAGTGTCTCCTAGTTTCTCAGTGTCCCCATGTTTTCCAGTGTCCACAAGTATCTCAGTGTCCCCAGGTCTCCCAGTGTCCCCTAGTGTCTGTGTCCCCATGTGTGCCTCCCTGCTGCCTTTCCCCCCCATTCCTCACTTACCTAAGCTGCTGTCTGGACTCTGTAAGGGGTAGGGGTAGTAAGGATGAGGACTAGGGGTATTAAGGGGTAGGGGTATTAAGGACTATAGGTGCCCCAAGTCCTTCACTTACCTTTTGTGAGATGGACTTTCCAAGGGTTCTTCAATAGCTTCAGTAGAGCGGTGACCGGTCCAAGATGGCGCCCGCATTCCTCAACGCTCAGCACACAATGCAGCGTCTAGGTATTCTATGTCTATGGCTGCTCCCCCACGGATCAGTGAGTATAGATAGGTAGGGAGGGATATGCTGTGACTTCCTATCCCTGCCTGTCTCCACACACACAGCGACCCCTACTGGCCAGTGCTGGTATTGCAGAGTAATCTCCGTTTATACTGAGAAAAATACCTGCAACTGTATTGGCGGTATTACTGCAACGGCCAGGCAGCCCCAAATACCGTCTGTGCTGGTAAAATAAAACAGCCCCTATGTTAATCCGGCCCTGGTGAGTCCTACACGAACAAGCAAGGTGAATTGTCAATTAACTTTTTGTTACTGTTACTGTCATTTCATTTTTATATATATTTTTAAATGATGCGTGTTGATTTTTTTCGGAAATCTTTCTGTGTGACTGAGCCGCTATGTTGTGTCAGATTCAGCAGCTGACCTTGGTCAGTCTTTCATGCAGGCTGTGATCCACCATCGCCCTGTTAGTGTGTGTTCATATGTACTCTCTTCTCCTGGGATCCCCAAACTCTGTGAGCAGTGAGCTATCCTGTGTTACACCCCCTGGCTGTCCGATATCCAGTCCTGTTTTATAAGATACCTTGTTACACCCCCTGGCTGTCCGATATCCAGTCCTGTTATATAAAATACCTTGTTACACCCCCTGGATGTCCGATATCCAGTCCTGTTATATAAAATACCTTGTTACACCCCCTGGCTGTCCTATATCCAGTCCTGTTATATAAAATACCTTGTTACACCACCTGGCTGTCCGATATCCAGTCCTGTTATATAAAATACCTTGTTATACCCACTGGCTGTCCGATATCCAGTCCTGTTATATAAAATACCTTGTTATACCCACTGGCTGTCCGATTTCCAGTCCTGTTATATAAAATACCTTGTTATACCCACTGGCTGTCCGATATCCAGTCCTGTTATATAAAATACCTTGTTATACCCACTGGCTGTCCGATTTCCAGTCCTGTTAGATAAAATACCTTGTTACACCCCCTGGCTGTCCGATATCCAGTCCTGTTATATAAAATACCTTGTTACACCCCCTGGCTGTCCGATATCCAGTCCTGTTATATAAAATACCTTGTTACACCCCCTGGCTGTCCGATATCCAGTCCTGTTTTATAAGATACCTTGTTACACCCCCTGGCTGTCCTATATCCAGTCCTGTTATATAAAATACCTTGTTACACCACCTGGCTGTCCGATATCCAGTCCTGTTATATAAAATACCTTGTTATACCCACTGGCTGTCCGATATCCAGTCCTGTTATATAAAATACCTTGTTACACCCCCTGGCTGTCCGATATCCAGTCCTGTTATATAAAATACCTTGTTATACCCACTGGCCGTCCTATATCCAGTCCTGATAAAAAATACCTTGTTATACCCACTGGCCGTCCATTTCCAGTCCTGTTAGATAAAATACCTTGTTACACCCCCTGGCTGTCCGATATCCAGTCCTGTTATATAAAATACCTTGTTACACCCCTGGCTGTCCTGAGCATCCAGTCCTGTTATATGTGCCACCCTGTTACACCCCCCTGTCCGGGATATCCAGTCCTTGCTCTATAAGATACCTTGTTACACCCCTGCTGTCCATATCCAGTCCTGTTATATAAAATACCCTTGTTGGGCACCACCTGGCTGTCCCATATCCAGTCCTGTTATATAAAATACCTTGTTATACCCACCTCGGCCGGGTCCCGATTTCCGTAGTCCTGTAGATAAAAATACCTGTTACACCTGGCCAACCCGGCTATCCAGTCCTGTTATATAAAAATACCTTGTTACACCCCTTACGTCCATATCCAGTCCTGTTATATAAAATACCTTGTTACACCCCTGGCTGTCAGTCCTGTTTTATAAGATACCTTGTTACACCCCCTGGCTGTCCGATATCCAGTCCTGTTAGTCCTGTTATATAAAATACCTTGTTACACCCCCTGGCTGTCCGATATCCAGTCCTGTTTTATAAGATACCTTGTTACACCCCCTGGCTGTCCTATATCCAGTCCTGTTATATAAAATACCTTGTTACACCACCTGGCTGTCCGATATCCAGTCCTGTTATATAAAATACCTTGTTATACCCACTGGCTGTCCGATTTCCAGTCCTGTTAGATAAAATACCTTGTTACACCCCCTGGCTGTCCGATATCCAGTCCTGTTATATAAAATACCTTGTTATACCCCCTGGCTGTCCGATATCCAGTCCTGTTATATAAAATACCTTGTTACACCCCTGCCGTCCCATTTCCAGTCCTGTTATATAAAATACCTGTTACACCCCTGGCTGTCCCATATCCAGTCCTGTTATATAAAATACCTTGTTACACCCCCTGGCTGTCCGATATCCAGTCCTGTTATATTAAATACCTTGTTACACCCCCTGGCTGTCCGATTTCCAGTCCTGTTATATAAAATACCTTGTTACACCCCCTGGCTGTCCGATTTCCAGTCCTGTTATATAAAATCCAGTCCTGTTATATAAAATACCTTGTTACACCACCTGGCTGTCCGATATCCAGTCCTGTTATATAAAATACCTTGTTACACCTCCTGGCTGTCCGATATCCAGTCCTGTTATATAAAATACCTTGTTACACCCCCTGGCTGTCCGATATCCAGTCCTGTTATATAAAATACCTTGTTACACCCCCTGGCTGTCCTATATCCAGTCCTGTTATATAAAATACCTTGTTACACCCCCTGGCTGTCCAATATCCAGTCCTGTTATATAAAATACCTTGTTACACCCCCTGGCTGTCCGATTTCCAGTCCTGTTATATACAATACCTTGTTACACCCCCTGGCTCTCCGATTTCCAGTCCTGTTATATAAAATACCTTGTTACACCCCCTGGCTGTCCGATATCCAGTCCTGTTATATAAAATACCTTGTTACACCCCCTGGCTCTCCGATATCCAGTCCTGTTATATAAAATACCTTGTTACACCCCCTGGCTGTCCGATTTCCAGTCCTGTTATATAAAATACCTTGTTACACCCCCTGGCTGTCCGATTTCCAGTCCTGTTATATAAAATACCTTGTTACACCCCCTGGCTGTCCTATATCCAGTCCTGTTATATAAAATACCTTGTTACACCTCCTGGCTGTCCTATATCCAGTCCTGTTATATAAAATACCTTGTTACACCCCCTGGCTGTCCGAAATCCAGTCCTGTTATATAAAATACCTTGTTACACCACCTGGCTGTCCGATATCCAGTCCTGTTATATAAAATACCTTGTTACACCCCCTGGCTGTCCGATATCCAGTCCTGTTATATAAAATACCTTGTTACACCCCCTGGCTGTCCGATATCCAGTCCTGTTATATAAAATACCTTGTTACACCCCCTGGCTGTCCGATTTCCAGTCCTGTTATATAAAATACCTTGTTACACCCCCTGGCTGTCCGATATCCAGTCCTGTTATATAAAATACCTTGTTACACCACCTGGCTGTCCGATATCCAGTCCTGTTATATAAAATACCTTGTTACACCCCCTGGCTGTCCGATATCCAGTCCTGTTATATAAAATACCTTGTTACACCCCCTGGCTGTCCGATTTCCAGTCCTGTTATATAAAATACCTTGTTACACCCCCTGGCTGTCCGATATCCAGTCCTGTTATATAAAATACCTTGTTACACCCCCTGGCTGTCCAATATCCAGTCCTGTTACTTTCGTTACATACATGCATGTTTTCATTGGGTGTGTTTCTACTAAACAGTGATTTCTTTGGGCACTGGTGTGTCCCTGCCGTCCACTTTCAGATTGTAGCTGTTGGCTCTCTCTTGGTCCGGTCCTGTCACTTCTGGGAATTAATTCTATCCCACTCCATAGCTGCTATAAAGGAAATGTCTGACAATGATGAACGACCAGTGGACGGCTGGATAACCGCTGAATCTGAAGATTGCTGCTCACTGACGAGAGAGAATTACTAGATTTACTAAAAAAAAAACACATACCCCTTATTGTAAATGTAGTAAGTTAAAAAAAATAAACTGTTGACAATGTCCCCTTAAATGTGGATGTAGGATATGTTCAAACATGGGGGGTGATCCATAGTTTTACTCTTTTTAGTGACTCCGCTTTCTCTCCCCAGAAGAGCTGTTGGAAGACTTCGACTCTCAGACGGAGAGGGATGTGGTCGACCTGTTAATATTTCTTGACGAACTCTTTGACTTTTAGAGAATTTTGTTTTTCAATCATTAAACAGTTTATTTTTTTGATGTTTGTTCTCTGATTCTCCAATGACTGATTTATCTTTAAAGTGAAATAAAACTGGCATTTCCTACACAAGCTTTCTAAAAACATTACCTACTCAACTCAGGTAAGTACCGTTATCGTAGTATAAAGCTGGATTAACACAGCTGTCCATGTTGGGTTTCATTTTATAAAAGGATGCTATAGGGCTGGATAGAACACACTTTGCTTTTTTTAAAGATACTGGTATTTATTAACTAATCACTGAAATCCAGATCTAATAGAGCTACTTTGGCCTAAACGTTGCACAATTCATTGGTTAGTGAATAATCTCTGCAAATACAGAGCAAACCTGGATGTCAACACTTCATAAAAGGAGAGACGGAAAGCTCTCCTCTAATAAGAAAACGAGCCTTCACGATGGTGTATAGGAGAAGACGTTTGTGATGGGCTTGCAAGAACTGGTGACATATTGATACATTCCGGGCTATTCATTAAAGTGATTATTTAAAATGAATTTCACATTTAAAGCCAAAAGCAGCCAAGCATGAGTCACAGACTTGGAGGGATAAGTTTGAGCCAGTTTGTTTGCAGCAAATTAGACTTAATCCAGATGAGAACAAACCAATCTTTCTGGGATTTAGCGGTGGAGTTTTATTCATTGGATAAGATTCCACAGGCAAATCCAGGACAAATTGATTAATTCTTGTCTGGATTTAGACACACCGGTTCAAACAGATTTTTACACTAGTC